TGAATCAAGTTGGAGCTTTTGGCTCCTGGCGAGCCATAAATCGCAGCAAACCATTAGATATAGGACCAATCTCAGAGTTGCAACATGCATCGTTAACACCGCCAAGATATGATGTGGTTAGAAACCTCCTGAGGCTACCAGACTTCAAGTTGTGTTCAGATCTAACCAAAAAAACAAACAAACAAACAAACAAACAAAAAAACCACAGATGCAAAAGTCAGAACAATATGTTATCTGTTTGCAAGCTTGCTGTTTTATACTGCATAGGTGCAATGCAAGACCATATCTCAATGTGATTTCCATTACACTTACATGAGAATATTCACGAAGAAGACATCATGCACTTAAAAAGAATGGAACGAAAATATAATTTTGACCTTCTCGAAGGACTCGAAGAAGTTTTTTATAGACAAAAAGTTCTGAAGTTCTCACTGAGGTAGCGATATGCTCTCCTGGCAATAGCCAGCTACCCTCACTAAACGCTTTTTTTTCTCAATTTCCGAAAACCACCCATTACGATGTATTTATCGCCACACAGCGTGCCGTTATCTGAGTTAGTGTGCTTACAGAGTGCCAGGATTATAAATAACTCCCCATTGTGAACAAAAACACCGCGTCAATGTACTTTTTTTTCTAACACTGCAGAATATTTTGAGTCCTGGGCTGTGACCCCAGATTTAGCGAATGTTATTGTACAGTTATTTGTGGTGGAGAGACTGGGGGCGGACTCTAAACACAATTGATAAAGTCTGGCGAAGGGCTGCATTGAAATTTGAAAACACGAACGCGTTTCGATGATCGATTAAGAAATTGGGAAAGTTGACCTTTAGTGAAAAATATTAAAAAGGGAATCGGTAAACATAGTGCAGTATGATTAATAATCATTATGGGAAATATTCAGAGCCAGGCAAATAATGTGCTTTCAGCTGGCTTTGGCAAAGCCAAGAAATTATTGAACTATCACTACTTCTACTTCTTCTTATGCCTACTGAAATTCTGCTACATAACGGGATCTCATTGGCAATTCAGAATAAGTCACAAAAATTCTGCATTTGGGACCGGTTTTCGTTAATTTTAGGAGAGTCCATTAAAAAAAAACTCTAGATAACAATATCAACAAAAATATTGAAAATTAGGTTGCCAACTTCTGTAAGGATAAAAAGCGTTTGGCGAACTTGACGATGTTGCACGACAATCGAACGGCAACCACTTGAAATTGCGTGGGAATAACTGCATTAGGTGAATCGCCGATAACGACGCGTTTTCTCAACGCGAACAGGAGAAAAACGCCAGAAAACATTCTTTTTTTTTCTTCTTGGAAGACACGTTGTTTTCAAGTGTTTTCTACGCATTTTCTGTCCTAGAAAATGGAAGGAAACGCTCTGTCTTCGATGGAAAACTTCTTTCAAAGCAATCTTCCGTTACTGGAAAACACCAGTAAGCAACGAATACAAACCATTTTCCCATCTTACACCGCATTCTCAACACCAGGAAAACAATAGTTTTCGGAGAGCTAACTGTCAAGGAAAACTGTTGGATAATAGAACGAATACTTCAATTCGCCGACTCGAAAACAACG